GGGGAGAAAGACGTAGAGAGAGTGAGAAAGACGTAGAGAGAGTGAGAGAGAGGCATTAGGAACTTTCCTGTGTACCGTCACAAAAATTCAGTCTAAAAAAAGAAACTTTTCTGGACTGATAGTAGCCACAGCAGGGTTCCAAATCTTAACAACCTTGTCTTTTTATACTCGACCCTTTTCCCCTACATCAGCTCTTAAAATAGCCGAGGGCAAACGACATTTCAAACAATAACAATAACAACCCGGATAGCCATAACCTTCACGGTGACATGCCAGACATGGGCTAAAAATAGTAACATTGACAATAACATATAGGACAGGACATGGTCCCTTTCTAGTTATGTTTATGTCTTTAGGGTGACGAAAGCATGGAATGCATTGCCTTTTGGCTATAAGCCAAATCGCTATCTTAAAATTACAAAGTTCTATCTGACATTTTTGGCCGTTTTGAGTTACTTACGCCATGAGATCTGAAACCAAATGTTCCATCTGCTCTATCAAAATCGTAAGATAATTTGGAATCGTTATCAATATATTCAAAGAATAACATTCGGAAAGGCTTGACATATTGCGGAACATTTTATTGCACCAAATTTCTCAAAACTAGGTACAGGCCTACTGAGCAGAGAGAACTTTTTTCCTGAGGTCGCGTCGTAGTGCTAAGGGCTTTTTTTTTAAATTACACTTTTTAAAAAGTGTAACTCTCTCGTATCTCTTTTCCTGTCTGTCTCGACACCAGACAACAGTAAGATAAACCACACTTCTCTCATTTCTTGTTATCTTCTCAATCAAAACGAGCACTTTTTTAAAAGCCGATTATCCAACCTTTTTGTTTATTTGGCGTCTCGGTCCGCAGTACTTTCCCCCATCTTTTGCTCTTCAACACTGACTCAATTCTCAGTCATTTATCGCACAGCATATTAATTTATTCAATCCCTTTTTAGTCGCTATGCACCCCTTTCAAATTGATTTACAGATGTACTCTTTCAGTTCCTATAGTAATT